TACGTTCAGGATGTTGGTATCCAGGTTTTGAGGTGCCCACCCAGACGTCCAGTCCTAAACCCAATAAAGCATGGTTGGGACAACCTAGAAGGAAGGATTAGGAGCAACTAGCGCGAGTTTCACACCGTGGTTTAGCTAGACCAGGCGCTATTGCATGAGTGGGACGAGATAGAGCAAGAAGAGGTTGCTGCAATGGTGCAAAGCATGCTATAAACAATGAGAGCTGTAATACAGGCTCGAGGAGTAAATACATGGTATTAAACCACGATTCTGCCCAGTAATTTGGCGGCTTTGCAGTGCCAGATTTATACAAAATTTATTTTAATTTAAAAAAAATCTTTTTTATATTGTTAGAAAAGTCAAATTTATATTTTTTATATTACGTGAATTGCACAATGGTATATACTGATGATATTTAAATACATTTTTTATTGAATTAAATACATGCTGTTATATTTAAAAAAAACTTAGTGTCTGGTTAATTTTGCATTAGAAACTAAACTCTCGTGTTTTAGTGATCACATTATGTCTTGAAAGTAGCGGATCACCCTGTTAACAAGTGCTATGCCCATTTTAATATTTTTGACTTCGCACTATCTAAATATAAGCTAAAAATTAAGTCATCTCTTAACATGTAATATAACACTATAAACTGTATCTTTATTCGTAGGATCAAATTCGTAAATATTTAAAAAACTCCATCTAAACAATTTTTGAATTTATGTTCTATAATACAAAAATGAGAAAAAAACATTGGTCCACAGTTATTTAGACAGACTTCCCTCACCTCTGAAATGCAGTCCAACAGATCCCGCTTTTTCGAAAAATTGTAAAATTGCAAAACTTTATTTATTTTATGATAACCTCTATAAGTAAAAAAATAAGAATACACGCTTTAACAAGTTGAGAACAAGCGTCTGGACAGCGTTCCTTTTGTATTAAAGTATAAGATAATGGTGATATTTTGTTTGCGAAAATTTGGGTGGATATGGTAAAAACTCAAAGCGACTTAATAAACCACAAGCCACAAGTATATTTTATTATTATAAAATTTAAATGACATTTATCATGCAAAATTTTGGGGTGGCGTCACCAAATTGTAAGTGAGAATGAGATAAATTTTGGTCGGCGTTTTACTCTCTACACAATAATATTCCTAACATACATATCAAGTTTGACAACAATAAGTCGGGTAGATTATTATCTATCTAATAAATATGGATGCAGGCGACAGACGACAGACAGATAGACGGAAACAGGGACCTATTTTTGCATCCTCTACTTGCTAAGCTTACGCTGTAGAAATAAAAACAAAATTGTTAATAGTTTTACTGCTAATAATTCATCAGTTTAAGCAAGATATCGATATAATGCATTCCAATTTTTGCATGAAAGTATAATTTTAACCATCTCGCATTCTTTACAAACATTTTTTTCTAAATTTTTGCCACAAAGAAGCAGTAACAAAATCTTTCTGACAAATAAGATAGTTTTACAATTTTCTTCATTGCATAAAATGTTAAAGGGTAAAATAAGTGTTCATTTATTTCCCTAGGGCATTAAAATTTTATTTTTTACAGTCTCAAAAAAACGTACTTCATAAAAAATGTAGGTATCACTCTTAAACCCAAGTGGATATGAAAAATAATAATATATTAAACAATTTATATTTATTATATAATTTCATTTTCAAATGTTCGTATAGCACTGAATCAAATATTTGTTGATGGAATAACCTACATCTTAACTGGCTAAGTAGGTTTTAACCGACTTACACCCTAATAATATTTACTAAAACTTTCACACTTACATTAACATTCTAACACAAAAATTAAAGGAATTGACAGCCCATGAAGATTCGGATTATGCAATCCTTTCAGTTCTAATTTAAAAACAAATTTCTATTTAATAAGGAGAAAAACAAATTGAATATATATATCAAACAGCTATTTTTATGTCTAATTAGACTATTCACATTACGTTAAGCAAACACAATTTCAAAATGCGATATTAATTTTTCAAGAAAATTTGACGAGTGAAGTTATATTTTAGACATATTTGTGTTGTGTTATTTCAAGGCATGTAACAGGTTCATCACAAAAAGAAATGTTTAACTTCAAAACTCCGTTATATTGTCAACAGAAATTGAGCGATAACTAAGTGAGAAAAGTTTCAAACAAAACTTTACTGCTCTAGTAGCAAACTTTTTTCAATAACTTATATATTATATATTATATATATTAAACCTCTAACCTCTACTTTAAACTAAGACGATTTGTACAACAAAACTTTCTTCAGTCCTTTAATTTTGATCCCTTTCCAACAAAGTAAAGATGAAAATATATTGTAAGACTAACTAAATAAGTATTGTTCCTATCAACTGAACTTCATCAACCGGAAATATCGGAAATTCAATTATATTGTAAGACTGACTACAAATATGGCTCTCCCTACTGTTTATCAGTGGCGGCTCGTCAGATGAGGCAAGTGAGGCGGCGCCTCACAGCATATATCTTAAGAACAGATTGACTTTATTTATAATTAATAAAGAGTTTTCAATGCATTTTTAGTTACAAAAATATGTTGAAATGGGAAATCTACATGATTTTTTATTTTTTACGCTTCCTGCTGACATTTTTCGTTGAAAACCGTACGATTTATGCGCCTAGTTCTTTAACTGAAGCGGCCAGAACGTCGGTTCACTTGAACCAGCGAAGCCCAATCACAGACACGGATTTCCATGGCTCAGCTCCTATACTCCTATACATGCGTTCGCTCGGAACTGAGGCGATATCTTCGGTGCTTCTCGGCCAATTTCGGCGTACTCATGAAACCATTTTTCCATTTATTTTACAGAACGGTAGGGTTGCGCGGTGCGTGGGTAATTAGCATGAACGTGAATAAAAACCCACGTGTTGGTGTTTCGTGTTTTTGTCTCTTTCATAGATACAGGGTACAGGTGAGTGAAAAATGAATCCCGAGTACGATATCGTCATGTTGCTTCTTGAACCGCCGTTTTCGCGGCGAACCGAGCTAGAACGTCGGCAAATTTTGCTAAATATCGAGCAGTCAAAACCGTTAATTCATTTAACTTCCACTGATAAGCGACAGAATCGTCAGTACTCCAAGTTTTTTAAGTCAACTTGGTACCTACGAAACATATAAATGGCTCTGCCGTAATATTTACACAACATCCCGGGATATAACGATTTAAAGAATTTCATCCGAAGTGCAAAATTACATGAAAGTTCCAAAGTACACATTAAAATTTTCATGGGCTTAAAACATTTAGAAAAGAACACAACAACTATTCCCGAATACCTCCGAGAAAGTGCTACTTTCAACAAAATTTTGACTTGTAAAAACATTGTTGATTCAATGTGTTATGGGTGTTATTATTATTATTATTATTGGGACCTACCACTGACCCGGGAATGACCGGTATTCAGGCAAGACTTCTATTATTACTAACTAGTATAACCAAGTAATATTACTATTATTGTCAAACTTCTATCATCGCCTCACCACATCAGACAGTCACGAGCCGCCACTGCTGTTTATAAGGCTGAATGGGGATAAGTATCTAAGTAAGTAAGTAATAAAGCTAGCAGGAACGTTAAACATGTCAAAGTAAAACACATTTTCAAAAATATAATGAACAGAATTTGATTCTTGAAATTTAGCAAATATGAAATGGGTCTTGTTTTTCCATACATTATTAACACCATTCTTTTTGTTAGAAAAGTATAAAATGCAGAGACATCTTCCTTAGATTTAAATGTATCAATAATCATATGTACAATATCTGTTTTCAAACATTTGTACATGGCTGTACTTTTAATGGCCTTGATCTTGATAATAAAGTGATTTTGTTAACTAAAATGTTAACCTTCCTAATAAAACATTACTATGCTTCAGAAATATATTTCCTGCTCAAACTAACAAGAAAAACAGGAATGGCAATGCACCAAACTTGACATGCATTGTCATTTCTTTTCGCTAACAAAGTGGACGTCATCAAAACAAAGGAAAGGCATTTTTAGAGTTTCAAGATTTTAGTCATTATGTATTTTATTTTATTTTATATATCCTACAAGTTTTTGTTAAATTAACAATTAATACGATTCATAAATATAGATGGTTAATAAATCAAACAAAATCAAGAACAAATCAAATTTGATACATTTTTAGTTACGGCAGGTTAAGACAACAAATTTACCCTACGTATCAGGTCAACTTTCAGACTTGTAATGTTTTCATAACTTTGCTTACGTAGATATTAGCTATAACGTGATAAGTAGATGAAGACCTGTATAAATATGTATTAATATCATCAGTGTTTTTTAAACAAAAACAAAAATATATAATATGAAGTAGGGAAGTAGTAGACCAAAAATAAACACCGTTTACTAATACGAATTTTGAAAAACCATAAAACTTTTTTGTAGCGTTAAACCAAAGTTCAGTAACTCTTCGACAAAATATCTGTGCCCAAATTAACACTAAACTGTATAACAATTTGACTGTAAAATTTAAAATTTAAAATGTTCGTTAGTGTAGGCGAACTACAGTTAGAAATTCATCGCTTTATTTCAAGTACATCTCCATGCTCTATATGCGTTTTAAAGTAAAAATCACCAAGTTGGGGTATTCGCTTAATAATAAACGCTAGAAGTACATAATAATAAATACACGCTTCAGCAGAAATGTGTTGCAGGACTCAACTATGTTTCTAGACGTTGTAAAACTTCGGTTTACTTTAGGCTTTGTTCTCAATTCAAAGAAAGGTTATTAATCGTACGTGTAGAAATTTAAGTGTGATGAGACGGATTACGTTTAGGCGAAAGTGTGTGACGTAAAGGTCAAGACATTGTACATATTTTTGATCTGTTTCCCTACATTCATGTTTTGATTGTGTGACTTTTGCACATCGACATTGACATGAAGAGATAATTTTTAAGATTAGATTATTAATAGTTTATTAGCAATTTTGATTTACTAACAAACAACTAAAACAAATCTCATCAATGAAGAGCTACCAGTTTACAAAAGTCTCCAATTAATTCTTACGTGTCTAACTGTAAAAATATGAATAAATAAAATTCAAATCTGTAATAACGCTGAATTTATTGCCGATCCGCACACTGCCTGACTTTCACTTCAACGAAGAATTTCTCTTCTACATTTAATTTAAAACAGTTGATTTCCGAGTTCTTTGTATCACGTGTGTTTTTCGTTTTTCTTTCGTGTTTAGGAATATGTCTCAATTAGGTAAGTGGAATCTAATTAATTATTATTTATTTTGCAATTCAATTGTAAGGCAGCCTTATTAGTAATATGATTTCTTATGCAAAATCTTTATTTACGTTTCCATTGCTTTATTACTTAACTCCGTATAACCTCTCAAACGACTTCGTTCAGGTATAGAACTCTTTGTTGCGTTAAAATATAAATGGTTTTTGGAAAAAATTTTGAGAAACAGAATCTTTTGCATTTGCAGTGAGTTTCAGTTATTACATACGTTAAAATAATGTTATTGTGAATTATTATTGTTTTAATCAGTGGAATTAAACCAGTTCCGATAAAATTTATGTATTTCTCATACTTGAGTTGAAAATTCTAACGGCATATCTGATTACCTTGTGCTTAAGTAACAAACATATTAAGACAACAATTTATAAAAATGCCGTCAGATAATCATATCCTCGTGTCTATTTCAGAGAAATGCCCTGAACGTGAGGACAAACATGACCATGATATTATACAATCCACCATCGGCAATTTTGGGTGGTGGCAATTTAAAATCTCTTCTCTCATGGCCTTACTGAAATTTCCAATTGCATGGTTCCAACTGAGCATCATATTTTTAGCACCTCCAACGCAATTTTGGTGTAAATCAGATACGCCAACTGATAATTCAACACTGGAATGGTTGAAAGATGCTCAACACAGTCATCCTCTTCTTAGACATGCAAGTTCATAATACCATGCTGATCAAAATTGAAAATGTATTTTCAGGAAGGACTAAATTCAGGATTTTGTCACAGTATTGGTGCTGAAAATGAAACAGCAGCACTATGTGAAGATGGATATTCCTACAACACTACTGTTTTCCATTCTACTATAATAACAGAATGGGACTTGGTTTGCGACAATAAAAGACTAGTAGATGTATCCCAGATTACATTAATGTTTGGAGTTTTAATAGGTAAAATAAATTTTGTTTTTTACTTCTTATATGAAGACATTTTTAGGAAATATAATGTTTGGAATAATGGCGGATCGCCACGGTCGAAAGAAAACTTTAATAGTGTGTATTGTACTTCAGTCGCTTTTTGGAATAGCAGCATCACGTATTCCATGGTACTGGGGTTTTGTAGTAACACGACTTTTACTAGCCGTCGCCAATGGTGGAACCATTGTTGTTTCCTTTGTTATGTGTATGGAAGTTGTAGGTGGTCCTTGGAGAAGTATTGTACCAATTCTGTACCAAATTCCATATGGTTTTGGGAACTCTATTATGGCAGGTTTAGCGTACCTCTATAGAGATTGGAGAGACCTGCACTTGGCTTTATCTTTACTGTCATCTTTTTATATCCTTTACTTATGGTATGTATAATACCAGATAAAACTTTAACTAAAGAAAAACCATTTAGGCTCATTCCTGAGTCTCCACGTTGGTTACTAGTAACGGGTAAAAAAACCGAAGCTACTGAAATCCTTCAAAAAGCTGCGAAATGCAACAAAGTAGACTCTGAGAAGGTACAAGTTGCCATTAACGAATTCTCCTCAGACGTCAATAAAGACACCAAACCCAGAATGTCAGCACTATTTGCTACCCCAGAACTGGCTAAAAGAAACGTGTTATTATGTGTCAACTGGTATGCGTTAATGGATACTTATGGATGACTTCTTCCATTTTTTTTTTTTAGGTTAATTGCAGGGGTAACGTTCTATGCTTTTTCACAATATGCAGGAAAAGTAGGTAGCAATCTTTACTTCACAGCAGCAATTAGTGGTTTTGTGGCATTTCCGGGAACTCTTCTTTGCGTCTTCGTTGTACGACGCTTTGGAAGACGTTTGACAATAGCCTCGGCTCACATTTTGACAGCCGCTTGTTTCTTCGGTATTCTGGGTGTGCCTCTGGGTGTTTACGAACAAGACTGGCCCAGAGTAGTGATAGCAGGAATTGGCATTGTTGGATTATCTGTATTTGTGTTCATTTTTATTTTATTATTGTATTTTAACATTTCTTTTTAGATTTCTATGCCCGCTTTGTATCTTTTTACGGGTGAACTGTTTCCAACAACTGTGCGAAATGCTGGTGTTGGAACTTCCGTTATGTTTTCAAGAATTGGGTCTATGATTGCGCCTTTAGTTATCGCTATTCAAGATTTCTCACCCACGCTACCCCTTATTCTTTTAGGGATTGGTGCAATTTTGGAAACGTTCCTGATTTTGCTCTTGCCAGAAACTAAAGGATTGCCTTTACCAGATACGATAGATGACCTAAATTTTAAAGTTAATAAGTGAGTGGTTATTGTAAGTATTTGTTGTTGGACTAACACACATAAATTTAAGGGTCAATGAAGGGAATGAAATGAATAGGTGTTACATTTCGCTGCCGACAATTCTAAAGGATACTTCATTAGATATAACTAAAATATAAAATTAGATATAAAAGGTTCGTAAATGTGATTTAATAAATAAATAGTCTGTAAGAAACGAAATTTCATTGATAACAATAAGATCTGCTTTGCAAGTAAAATTTAAGAATAGAAAACTAATCAAATTTTTTCTGAAAGTAAGTTTTTTTTATTTTAAAGGACACAAAATTACTACTAAAAGCGGTAAGGTAAAGAAACAAAACAAAATCATAGGTTTTTTAAGGGTTCAAATTGGTGGAGGTGCCGGGTGAACAAATAACATTGAGTTGAATAAAAGAACCCTTAATAAAACAACAAAATCATTCACCATTAACCGAGTAACAATATAAAAAACAAAGATCTACAAGGACTGGTTATTCGAAAATCTTTTAACCTTAAAATTATTATCTACTCATTCTTCACTCTCATTGTTTTTGTTATTTAATTTTTCCGTTCCTAATGTTTCGAACCTTAAACCTTTCTTACATTATTTTTCTATTGATTGTATTCAATCTTAAATTTATTTCTTTAATTTTACATAATCTGTTACACTAAAATCTACATGATAGATGTTAATTTCTGATCTGTTATGAAAAGTATAATATATATAATCTATTTTATCAAGAAATAAACAAATAAGCTTTTTAACTTCAAAATTACAGTTATTACTTTAATAACAATAATCAGAAATATATCGTTCACCGCTTTTATTTATTTAAAGACTTTAAACCTAGTTGTTGTAAAAGTGATTTAAGTAGGTAAATACATACCACTATACCACTAATGTTTTTCGGGTTAATAAGATAGAATTTGTTAATACTATTTATCAATTTTTTAAATGAAATCTTGCTTCACGTTTCAGAAAGGAAACTATAATTTTCCATATTTGTCTATGTCAACATTCTTAGCTCATACGAAAAATATTTTGTTAGGTTCCCCTACATTTAATAAAAAACCCTTCTTATTGTGGTAACCCAAACATCCCGCTAAAATTGTGACATATGCACAAAAGTTTTAAACCCGCGAATAATTCAAAATTTGAACTGTGATCGTCAACAAAAATGGAGCCCTACTACACAACGTGATGAAGGCCCAGGGCTTGGAAAAGCGCCTTTAAATCAAAATGCAAAACATGAAATACAGAATTATTTATTTCTCCATTTTTGAAAAGGAAAACTGCGAAAAACCCTCTGCAACTTTCAGAAATGAGATCATATATTACAAATCAAAACACATATTTGAATATCATTAATTTAAGCACACAAAGAAAACGATACATTTGAATTAAAGGAACTGCATGCAAATACACAAGTTGCTGCGATGGTGTGGGGACCAATTTAAAAATGAACAAAAAACAAAGCCGTATCGGAAGTCCAATCATGGATCGATGGCTCTGATCAAAGCGATCGAGCTCTCTTCAGGCCAAAGGGCAAACTCATCCCACGAAGAAATAAGTACCCCGAGAATTTTGAAAGAAAAAGTTTTACGAGACAACCTGTGCTAAAATCCCGCCTGTTAACATTGTTGCAACTAATCGATGAACTTCAACTCATTCATTTTGTTATTGTTGATTAAAAAAAAATCTAACACGTGCTAAAGGTTCAGAACTGATCAGCAAAACAGTCCGCGTCGACATGCCTTTTATACAGGTGACCGATTAATTTGAACTGTGCACTCCCAAACTTCAGATTGTAATTAAATGAATTACTGAAACTGCAAAGCAAACAAACCTGTAGCAAGATCTTTAAACAATAAAAAATTACGTGAGGTTAAATTATGCATTAATCATGTGAATGGTTAAATCAAAATGAGTTCATAAAGATTACATCAGAGAATTCCCACAACACATAGAACAAAGTACATATGCATTAAACACAACAAGACACTTATTGAATACGATCAAAATCAAAATAACAATTCGAGAATAAATGTTCAAATTCATGCTGTAATAAAATAATACGGGCGTAAGCGTTTAAGCGTGTGTTATATATAATATAATAACTTAAGTAAAAACATGCAGAACTTTGAGGTACACCTTTAATAACTAAAATAAATTGGGCCTGAATAAATGAATTTCTTACTACGTATTTTACAAGAACAGTTTCCATTACTATTGCAAATATTGTACTCCTATTAGTTAAAAATCTTAAGATGAACTGCGAATTTATAAACAATAAAATAAAAATTACATGTATTTATGGAATAGTCAAAATTGTACACATTTCAGATTAGAAAATCACAAATAAACTGATATTTTACTAGTTACATTTGTTGAGGTCAACTGTAGCGTCGAACGTGATTCATTTTTTTTAAACAGTTGCCGTTTTATGAAATTACAAACCAAGTTAGACGTTCTTTTAATTTTCACACGTGTTTTCACTGCACTCCCTCAAAAAAAAGTCATAGCAAGAAGCGACCAAGAGACCCTTCTTAAAAACCACTTGCGTTGCCGTGCATTGCAATCCCCCTATCCTAAGTCAAGGGCTTTAAAATTTAAAATATCCATGATTGTTATGGAATGAACACTACATTATATGTATAATTTCTCCCCATAGGCTCACGTCGAGAACAGTAGTTCTCCAAACTATCTCGAATAGCAAAAAAAAATACAACCATGGATACTAATCTCAAACTTTAAGTAATTTCGACATGTCCGCATACGGAATTCGAATCTGAAAGCCCTATTAATTGATCAAAAAGCTTTCAGACTAGAGTAGACTATGGAAATCAGAACACCCTATAAGCGTAAAACTTATACCAACATAGGATAGGTTTCAAAAACTTAAAAAAAAATGATAGAACTAGCTCCCGTTGACAGGTTGGTTGATGCATTCTTGGGTTGTAGAAAAATTAGAACCACCTACATTGTCATATAAATCGTTAAAGAAAGAGTAAAGTAATGACTAGCAAAGAGTGTTAAGTGTTAAAAACTGTCAAGTTCAAGTGCCTTTCCTTTTTTTCTTTCTTTTATTCCCGTAAGTTTTAAAAACCTGTTTTTTACATCTCTGTTTAGGATAAAATCGTAATTAGAGTTTAAGATAAAATTTAAATCTGTTTCCAGTTTTGATGTCATAAAGTGTTGAAACATTTTTATCAGATCTTTCAATTTTTAAATTTTGAAAATACACTTTATTTTATGTCCAAGTAGGTTATAAGTACCGACCGAATCGCAGTTTTTATATACAGAGTGTTATTGAAAGGGACGCACAATAAAATTGACAGTTCTTCGTAAAATCTAAGAAGTCTGAAAAACTTATTTTGTGTTATCAAAATTATAAGGGGAAAATTAACCCTTATGCAACCTTTTTAGACGCTACTGAAGAATAAATAGGTAAAATTAATTTATTTTAGTATATCCTAGCAACTGTAACAATAAATCTTTTGTTCAGACTAAATGTTGCTATAGAAATGAGAAATGATCTTTTTATCAGAGGCGTACAACGAATTTGGACATAAATTTTAATAATTTTTATCTCTAAAAGGAAAACACTTTTACCTGAACTTTTTTTTAACTTTTAGCACCCATACTTCAATACCAATTACCGATTTTATTTTGTACGTACCTTTCAATAACACGCTGTATAAACGATCTCTTATTTTATTACAACAAAATATAAACTTAAAATAAAAATATCTTGCTATATTAATTCGAAAAAAAAAAATCTTGTGGGTAGACTATTTTTATCTTCTTCATATTTTTATCAACAAAGAACGTGTTCGTTATCTCTTTGTGTTTTTATGTTTCGTTTTTGTTGTGTTTCATTGTATGGTGGCGACCGTGTGCAGAAATTCTACTTTGAGTGTGTTATTAAAAACGTAAAGGTAGAAGTAAATTATAATTTTTAGAAGTCCAGAAAGTAGCCTCCAGGAACACCCATCGCGAGTTACTACATATTATTACGTAATTTAAACTATTCTTTGTGTGTATGATCTGCTGTAATTGCATTTTAGCAGGGAATATTGGAGTAGTTTAAACATCCAACCACTAAGTGAGAAAGATGAAATTGAAAACAATGTCATCACCGTTTGTGTTAGGAAAACACCCGTGAACAAAAAAGAAGCAACGAAGAAGGAAATGGATGTTATCAGTTTTCCAAGCAAAAACCAACTTATCGTACACAAACCTAAGACCAAAGTCGATCTGACGAGATCTTTGGAAAATCAGTTATTCAGGTTTGATTATGCTTTCGACGATACGTGCCCAACGAAATGGTATACATAAGATGATTTACGTTGTAGTAATTTTTTAAATGTAGGTTGTATATTTTTCGAGAAGTGTGTGTTAAACAAATCATTTTAGGAAAATGGTATGACCTCAGAAATGCCGAAATTACAGCAACCTATCTCTGGACAGAAAGTTGCTGAAGAAAACATGCCACGTAATCATAAAAAAACTACCGAAGAAAACCAACTTATGAAAAAGGAATAAAACTGTTGAGAATGACTGATAAAGTAGACTATGGCCAAGAAGGTTAGTATTTATTTCCTTAACAAGTTTACATATTTTCGGGTTTTTGCTGCATTTATTCCATAATATGTTATAGTTATAAACGTTTATTTGTATCATGCTCTGAATATAGTTGAGTATTACTAAAAATACTTCTACACGGGCATTGTCTAGTAATGGACTACTTGCTGACTTAAATTTTGACGACATTTACACATCTGAGAACCTCGATTACCTTATCTAATTTATTACTAAAATCTACTAGCATGCCTGTATTCACCTTAATTTGAATTTCTATTTACGCTCTGATCTCTAGCTATTTTGATCAATAAGTCATCTAACAAAAATAAACAAAAAATAAAACTGTTAAGTTAATTAACTGATTTTATATAGAACTATTTTATTTCTCTTACAGGTGGTGTGTGGCTGAGTAATGTTACTTCTTTCCTATTTATACGATTTAGTTATTCTTCGATTAAAATATGTTTGTTTATAGTCAGTTGTAATCCGCTTCAACCTTACAAAAAAAGCCATATTGTTCACCAGGTTCTTCCCAATTTTGGCAATAGCCTAAAATTCTATCATTCATTATATTCTATATATCATTTTTCCTATTTATAAATTACTATAAATAACTAGTAGTAAATGTTTTGTTTTTCTTATATGTGGTATGTGGCTTAGTAATATTAAGTTTAAAAAATAAGCACTATATCTAAACAGGCCTTTTTATGAATGTGTGTAATGCATGTTGTTATTTTAACTGTAATTTTTGTAATGTATGTCATAAAGTGTTCATAACGTATGTTAAAACGTTTGATTTAAACCACCACAGCGAAGAATCAAATTCGTAGGTACTCTGCTTGTCCGTCCATTTTTGCAGACGAATATTTCTTTAAGTAATTAATTTTTCAGATTATCTATATTTTCAAACAATTCTTGATCCGTAATTCCTTAAAAAAATATCTGCACGTAAATTAAAACAATTCGTTTTTGAGGTTGATCTTGCTTTAGTGACTTTTACTGAAGGATTACGCGGAGTAAAGAAGCTCTGCAGAAGAAAATGAAAATAAAGTTTATTGAATTTGCTCGAAGGCTTCATCACTTCATATAAAAATACAAAAATACACAAATACAAAAACACACACAAACATTATTAATGTTGAAAATTAAACCTTTCGAATTCATAAAATGAGTAGAATGAGGCATCTATTAATATAGTTTTGATCTTTGTTTTGAATTTATTGATGGCTAATGTTGCTGTATCTTTGGATAATTATTGATTCAAGAACTTCGGTCCATAATAGTTTATGGCGTTTCTCGTTCACATTAACCTACTGTACTCCAGAGCAATGTCCTCTTGGTGTCGGATGTCATAACCATGTGTGTTTCTATGGCATTTATAACTTCCTAAGTGATTTTTTATACAGGGGGAGTATTATAATAACGGGACCCTGACCAAATTTCAATGCAACACATCTCATAAAGTTTTTGCCATTTCTATTGAAACACTACCTGTTGATTTTGCCTAAAATTTAGCAATTGCTAACAGTTTTCGGTTGATTGACAACGGCTTTTAGTTAGAAAATTGTCTGAATATGAACGTTGCCAAATTTACGATCAACAAGTGGTGTTTCAATAGAAATGGCAAAGACTATATGTAGATAACTCTTTTTATATTTTATTTTTCTGAAATGTACAAACATAGTTACCTAGTAGCCTAGTAGTTAATTTTGACTTTCGCAATAATTCTATTTGTCAGTTTTGAGCTCCGATAAGTTTTTAGTCTTCGCGATAAGATAAGGGTTAAATACACGAATGATGAAAAGGTTGATAAGACCTTGATTTTTGGAGAATGCAGAAAAAATGCCGTTGCAGCAGCAAATCTCTATGAAAGAAGATATCCCGATAGACGACATCTATCCGACCAAATATTTAGATGATAGATCTTCCGTTCCAAAAATTTTGAGAGCGAATAAGTTCCACCCTTACCATGTGACATTAGTAGAAGAAGACTTTCCCAGAAGAATACAATTTTGCAATTTTATGCAACATCAACTAGAATTGGACAACAATTTTGTATTCAAAGTTTGTTCAGCGATGAACCAAGATTTGGCAATAACGGGGTTGTTAATCGGCACAACTGTCACTATTACTCCCAAAATAACCCACACTGAAGCAGAACAGCTCATTTTCAAAATGTTTATTCCATAAATGTGTGCTGATAGGACAGTCAGGATTCCCCATTCCGTGAATTTGGGCTTAACGCCTTCCCTATATTTCTAGACATATGAGGGCTATATCCCCACGCCAGGCCAGAGCATTAAGGGTTGCAGTGTTATCGAGCATTTGTGAACGCCACTGCAATACATTTCAGTTTCAAAAATTGTAAATTGTCAGAAAAACTTTTAAGGGCTTTGTCATGAATTACACCTTGGAAAGTCGATTGGAGATGAACAGAATAAATCATCTGGTCTGTTTTGCAAAGAAGCAATAATTTTTCAAATAATGAAATCCAAAAAGTGAGGTTAAGTTTGTCGAAACCAATGAACACGGTAATTATTTAAAAAATTACATTTTTATAGGTACCCTGAAGGTAAAAATTGTGAAAAATCACGTAATGGACAATGGCAGAGCAAGTTTTATTACAGTTAACGAACACTATGAGTACCTAATGAGTTTTTGCAGTAAATAATTTTGCCAAAGTTGTGATCCCGCGAAAGTTCTGTTTGTAAATTGTAAGGAATCGTCAAAATATTGGTGCAGACATGGTTTGTGACCGGTGCTTTTCTCTTGAAAAAACACAACTGAAAGCCTTGATCTTCATCCCTACAATAGGTGAAAACTGCTATGTCCAAACATTACCTTCAGCTTTGCAGTTTCTGGATATCTGAAACATGCCAGATCTGCATAACAGGAATGTCAAAGAGGTTCTACCCAAAACACGCCCACATGGCCATCCTAATATCAAGATTTTTCAAAATTTCTATAACAAAAAAGATGAAAAAACCAATAAAATTTCAGGAGCATAGTGTTAAGAGTTCTGTAGATGATTATGAGATCTCTTGAAACAACAGAATGTTTAATAAAGATTTTTAACTTTCCTAATAGTAAAATTACAATTATTACTAAACAGTAAGTTGAAGTAAGTGTTAAATTAAGAGAATGCAACTAACACCGAAAGAAAAATGAAAGTTACTGAAAATAAAAAACTTTATTGCAGTACCTACATACACTTTCTACATCTAATTTTGTTTATTGATCACATTCATTTACTTGAAAAAGTATCAGGCCTATGAATCGTCGTCTGGAAACAGCTAACCACACACCAACCTTCATTGCGTGTGATGGTGTTTCTTCAAAAGCGTGAGTATTTTCTATACACCAAATTCTGAAGTTCTGTCAGTTGACATAATAGCCTAACAGATGAAACCAGGCTTCATCAGAAAAGAACGACAAATCGAGAATCCCGTTATCGTCCATATCAGCTTGAAACCAACTACAATACCCAACGCGGCAAGGAAAATCAGCTGGTTGCAGCTCCTGAACCAACAAAATCTTGTATGGATGCATATGTAACTTCTCTTTTACGATTTTCTGACATGGGCTGTATGGTACTCCGGACAGTAAAGATTTTTGACAAAGCTTTATTCGGACTTTGTTCCATTCTCATCCTTAAATCTTCAACAACGTCTTCACTAACTTGAGGTCTCCCCGTCGGTTTTCACTTAGAAATGCTACCAGTGTCGTTAAATCTGGCCATAATTCGCCATATAGCGTCTTCAAAGATTCTTCATCAATGACAACAGAACATTTCACTAGATACTCGTTTTTAGACGCCTCCACAGAGTACACTCCATCCCCATCCTCATTTAACACCCCATTACGGTAATAGGCATGATGATTGCGCCAAAGAACTAAAAAAATCATTTGTAACACTGACCATAGTTATTCCTCTCTGTTCATTACCTGAGATTATTCCACAATGATCTGTAGTTTTGATAAAAACTGTTTTTTGAGACACTTATTAAAGTTCTAACAAAGGGGAAGACAGCAAAAATGAAAACAAGACAAGTCAATTAACGCACAAAGTGAGGGAAAACGTACCAGTACAAACGAAAAAATTATTGACATCTGACAGAATTTGATGAAGCGTTGAAACAGTGCAGCCGCTAATGTCTGTGCTAATGTCAACCAACACCTTCTAGACATGTCTCTAGAAGGTGTTGTGTCAACTAATAAGCATTCACGTTCGGTAGAAGTAACTGACAGAAAGTTTTCTGTGGTTCAGTTGCAATCTTAAGATCACTAGAAATTTAAGATTGGCATTAACTGTCTAATTTTCTAATTCAAATGTCAAATCTGAATTGTGTGGGAAAAAAACGAAGTTTTTCTAATTTCAACACGCTTCGTTTCAAGAAAATCCTTAAATACAGCATGGAAACAATTTCCATAAAAGTAATCACGAGAAAGCTCATTTTAAAGGAAAAGAAACAAGAAATATTTCGTGGTTTTCAAAAAATTGGGTAAAACGGAAACAGTTAAACTGGTGGCACAAATATTCTCCGTAAAGTTCGCTAGTGTTGTCGAGTGTTTTTCGAATTTTAAAATAATACAGATACAGCGGCGCTTGTGCCGTTAATATTATAATCAGAATCAGAAAGACGACTGCGCAGATTTATATACCTACGTGCTTTGTTGGTTCCGTTCTACAATTGGTTTTTAAGTTTTATATAATCGTTATTATTTTGTAAGAGGTAAAACACTCGGCTTTGAAAATAATTGTACGTAATACACGTATAAATTTAGATTTCCGAAGGCGAAGTTTTTCACAGTTTAAACACGTTATAGCTGCCAGAATCAAATTTCTAAGGCGGTACCTATCTCCAATTGCGTGATTGTGGTGAAGATTTACTTTTCATTTTCTTGGATGAGACATGGATATACCAAAATGGATCCATGGTGAAATTGTGGATCCATGATGAGGACATCAAAGCTTGTCCTCCTAAAAAAACTAGTGAAGGGAAAAGATTCAAAATTTTACATGCGGGTTGCTCTTTGGGCTTTTAGAGGGATGCGATTTTCTCCTTGGTTCAAAAATAGATTCACCAGATTACCACAAAACCATCACATTTTTGATACCTACCGTCGTCTTCGTTGATTCACTATTAAAGTCCCTCCAATTGGTTACAATCGTCCGACTTGTCAAAAGGGAAAATATCAAAAGATGTCACCCCCTTCAGGAGTTACAGGAACCTGTAATTAATCCGTTTTGTCGCGCGCCAAAACAGTTTGTGCTTGAATTGATATTATCAAAATGTCCAAAAAATATTGCTCTGTGCCTGCTTGTGGGGTAATCAAGGATCCTAGAGACCACAAAATAATGCAGATTCCCTTCAAACACTGTGAACAAAAGGTTGTGGTGCAAAAAGGTTTTTAATGCTACAAGTAGGTACCCCAACATGAATCTTTTACCTAAGGGAATGTATAGCCATTAAAACCATTTCAGGTGATAATATTGCCAATAATTTATACATTTGTGGTAAACACTTTGAGAGAAGTTGTTATTACACAAATAAAAGACTTAAACCCGGCTCTGTTCCTACTTTGTTCCTCCATGGTTCCAAGTCACCGCTACCTGTTCCTACTTCTTCAAGCTCCCCAGCAAGTACTAAACGTGATCCAGAATGCAGCTTCATAATTCCTGAGACACATTCCGATAACAATGTAAACACCTCAAAGAAAAACTTTCCTACTGCATATCCCCTTGCAGACCATCCACACCCATGGCGTTGTGACTTTGGCACCGGTACCGAAATTTTGTCTCTTTTTCAAGTAAAAACTGAAATACATGACGTCAAATTGTGTCAAAAAGTCAGACCACGACAGACATTTAGCCGACATTACAGATTCCTTTCCCTCCCGACGTATGCTCCCTCACATGTCACATTTAAGGGATTGGAGAGACTTTAATAGTGAATCAACGAAGACGACGATACCTACTTTCTGACATTCCAGTAATACATTATACACTAGAACAATTATGTCCGCAGTTACACAGCTTAAAAAAAAAGTTACCAAATCTAGTTACATCTACCGAACGTGAATTCCTTATAATGTGGCGCTAAAAATAAAAATTCCAATATTAGTGTAATCCTTTCCACACAACTGAAAAAGGCGGCACAAAATGTCACCAAAATCATGGCCTTCTTCGACTACAATATTTTATAATGACCCTGTTGTGGTGACCGAATTTAAATCAAACTTTTCGCGCTGAAATTAATTGACAACGGCGCGAAATCACATTTGAATAATTTTAATTTGAAAAAAAAAAGAGTTCAATCACAAAAAGGAAATCCTTAAACATAGGCAACCAAATATGCATGGATGGTCTAATGCACGTAGCGCTTAGGAGTTAGTTTGCATGATCTTTGGGTTAGATGGCAGCACGTAGCGCTAGGGTAATTTCAGTTAGAGGGTTGGTAGAAAAGCGGCATGGCGGTAGAATGTGTCATTCTGGTGTGTTTCGTGTAAGTGTAACCACGTGGTAAGCGCTAGGTTTAAATTAGTTGGTTTGGTAGTTAATAAAACGGGAGGAAGCCTTTGTTTAACGACGATCAAACGTATTTTTCATAATGATACAGTTGTCCCCAACCCGCGCGTTAAATTCTTGCGCCCTTTTAATCGAAAATTGCAGACTTCCGGTCGGACGCGAACACGTGTTGTGAATCTGTTTCTTTGTTTGTAAATTCACCAATCAAGCTAGTTTTTCTTAATAGTCAGCTAGTGCAAACACAATTTAACAATCAGGATTATTTAAATTAACCATTTGCTGGAAGATTTCATGAAATTCACTTAGTCAGGAAAAACACCTTATGTTTAATTACGAATAGGTCTCTGGATGCATATACGTAAGTGTTACATTATAACACTTCTAAATTCTTCACACAAGATTGCTAATAGTTCATTTACGGCAGTTAAACAAGTTCATTATACTGCGGACTGGCGGGGGGTTATGATATTTTCTCCCCTCAGGTGGTTATCATCATTATCACGATTAATTCATCGGGGCATGTTTCGCAACGCCAGATTGATTAATTAATTAAGGCATGCCCCCAACGCTACAGAAAATTTACATTACCGAGACGCTTTTTCCTCGCAACGATTTTGGATATTTACATCACCGAGACGCTTTTTCCCTCGGAGCGATGATTGGATATTTTTGTGTTTGTTTGTTTATGTGTTTTGTTGGGGTAACCAGTTCGTAGTATTTTAACTTCTCAAAGTAAATTATTTTTGAAGTAACCAATCATTTAGATCATGATATAATTTGGCATAATGTAAACTCTTTGTTTGAACCGTTGATAAAGTGTGGCAAAAATTAATCTCATGTAAATTTTGTTAACTCTGCAAATTTTCACATCATACAATATTTCTTTAATCTCACAATTTTAACCTCAGTAATTTTATTTGTTGTATAAATTTAATTGAACGTAAATTTCATGTTCTACAGTTCTAACCTCACATAACATTTCTATTTGTACAAGTTTATTTCACACCAGATCTTTCGTCTCGTAAATCCTTGCTAAGTTTTGTTTTGTAAATACTTTGTTGATGAATGTTTTCTATCATATAAATTATTTGATGTCCAACTTTAATCCCACATAAGAATTATTTGTTGTTTAAGATTTCACAAGATTGTATGGCGAATTTAAATGTTGTTTATTGCTCTTTGAAACTTTAACACTTGTTCAGTTGTTGTTAACATCAGAGTTATAAGAGATTGAATGTTTTAAAATGGAATTGAGGTTAAATGACACAGAAAACGTGGCAGAAGCGAGGTTTGGTTCCTAGTCGAGCTGGCGAGATTAATCGCGCCACCTGTACAAGTCCACAGGTTTGGATAGATTCAGGGGGCGGCCGCCGACGTTGTGAATTTCTCGATTTGGCCCAATAGTCGAGATCTTTGCGGGTTGGACGACCGTAATGGCCTAGTTCCGCAGGGCAAAGTTCGTCATGGGATATGCGTGTGGGGTAGGCTTTGCGATAGATAGAATCATCGTCGCGGGGGGAGAACAGTTCCAGACCGGTAGCTCAGACTCCGCTTATGCTACAACGCTCCAGGGGTACCTTTCTTGTGCTCCTGTTAACTGCCGTAACAAAAAAAAGGAAAAGGAGATCGGCCGCCACATGCCTGTAATAACTTGTGTACTTGCATCCAGTTACTTGATTCGGTTTTTGCTTTGTTTTATTAAACTTGTGATATTCCAATATTTGCATTGATTCCAAACAGATGTACAGAATTTCCGTTTGTTCGTTTTTCGTGTGTGTATGTCTGTCAATTCGCGAGTGTTTTTCTTTCACATATCTTAAGGTGTTTGAAATGTAATAATATGTCGTCCGGGAATAAAACCAAAGGGGGTTTTTACGCTGAGGGGTAATTCTTCGCAGCGTCTTTCCCCCTGTGAGGGTGGTGCCGTTTCTCCCCCTCCAAACCAATTTTTGTCTATTATTTCTTGCGCTCTCGACAGTGTATGCACTTGTATGAAAGAACGTCTTCCCGCCATTTTTCAAAAACAAAAAAAAAAAAACACACAACGTAGGTTCCTATTTGTTAGACGATCATAGCCAAGGCCAAACTTTGAATTTTTAAATTTTTTGCGGGCCTTTCAAACTGTTTCAAGGTCAATTTTTAAGGCGGGAAGTTTGGGTTATCACACTGTATTTAACGGTCTTGGGATAAATATCATATTAAGAGTTTTTATGTCGTTCAGTGATACCAGGCACGTAACCAGTCTTTTATTTTGGAGGGGCCCAGCCCGGGCACTAATTTCAAATAAGGGGGCCTTTAAAAAAAGTCATATCAGTTGTATCGGCTAATTGCTTAAAAAAGTTATCGACAAAACTGTTCACAGCAGTATCGCTTTACTCAGAGAGTTACATTACAAGATAAGAACATAAGATTACTCATAGTTAACATTTGCTTTACTTTTAAAATTTAAAATTAATTTAAGGGGGCACCAGGGGTGGCGCAGGGTTTTGCTGGGGTGGCCTGTCCCCCCCCCAGCCCCCCCCTTGGTTACGTCCCTGAGTGATAGTCTGCTTTCCCTGAACCAATTTTTGGTCTGATTCATAGAATCGTCAATTTTCTGTATGAGTTCAGCTAAGCACAGATGAGTATTTACAATCGTAGTGCCGTCAGCAAAATAGATGCCCATGGCGTCAGCTATGCAATTCATTGATTTAGATTATGAAAAGTAGGGGTCCTAAGACCGACCCCATCTTTTACATAAAGTAGTTTAGAAGTATTCCCATTCAGGTATGTTATTTACTGCACTGTCGTTTAATACACAAAATTAAAGTTTTTTTTATGAGAATGTCAAAGTCCACGTAGTCAAATGCTTTGGAAAGGTACTTTGCACCCACATACCGAAATAATAACTTTTTGTAATAATACCGATTTATAGCATCTAGTGTACTTTTTCTTCTTCTAAATCCATATTGATTTGACCCTAAGATATTTTCCTGTTCAAAATAGTTTATTAGTTATTAATAGTCTTAACTTAGTTTTATTAAACTGTAAAAAAAAAAATCAGTCTTAACTTAGTTTTATTAAACTAAGTTAAGACTGATTTTGAAAATGCCACACTCTCTGAGGTGCGTGCAAAAGAGGATGCCATTTGCCAAAATTAGTCTTATCTTCCCAAGTACTAGCCCCGCCCACCCGTCCGCTATTTTCTCAGAGAATGTCATTTGCTCAAAATTTGAAAATTAACTAAAACCTCAACACGGAAAAATTTGTCCTCGAAAACGTATAAACGTTTCCAAAAAAATCTTGAAACAAAATTCAGAAGAGCTCCAAACATGAAAATTCACAAAAGCTTCGATTTTCGATAAAGTGGATTTTAAAATCTATACAGGCACGACTTAAAAATGGCTTGAATGTGACCAAATCATCACAAAACCTGAAGATCATGTACAATCTCCATTTCGAAAAATTGGTTCCTTTTTGGTGGTTAAATGATTTAAATATGTCTCTACCTTAGAGCTGATTTCAAAATGGACGTGATTTCAAATAAAAAAATAAATATGAAAATCGATTAAAATTTTGTTTCAAAATTTTGCCACCTTTAGGAACGAGTGAAAGTTGATTTTGGAAACCTCCAAAATTCAACAACATCTCGAAAAAAAAGTAATAAAATATATGCAAGATTTTTAAGCTTTAATCGCCCATAAATTAGGACTTTTAACTGTAGTCATTATTCAAATAACCTTTCTTCTACGTACGATATAATCAACCAAATAAACACAAATAGGTACCTTGGAACAAAAATTTTCACATTTCGAAGTATATTTCTATTTGCCGGGGGATTTCATGGAAAAAAAAAACTTGAAAAAGACCTTTCTTGGCTACAAAATTACAGCATGTGAACATCAATGTCTCCAAAACTAGGCATTTGCACAAAATTTAATGTCACTTTTGAACTCAGGAGGTGGTTTTTCGGGGTTTCAAAAAATATTTTCGAAAAAAGCGCCAAACGACTATATCAAATTTTTAAACCAACAGTTGTCCTCTACCAGAAACTCAAATGATGATTTATTCACCAGAAAAAGATAAACTTGTTTCTGCAATGTCTAGTTGCTTTAAAGAGGTAAGTAATTGGAATCCACTTTTTTAAAAAACAGGTAGCAAATGTTTTATAATTTTGATTTGTTGATGTGAGTGTAAAAAAAACGTTTGTTTTATTGTTTTTTTTTTGTTTTTAGACATAGCATGGGCTTTTTTTGGTTTGTTTTTAAACAACTTTAAATTTTCTTTCATTACCTAATAAGTTAAATTCAATATAAAGATTTAAAACAGGCTGTTATTACCAATTAATAGACGAATTGTGTGACGGAAATAAATACAAAAACACATTCAATAAAAGTAAAAAAAAATTGTCCACATACCTTTTTGTTTTAACTCATTGTCATTAGTCATTACTCATTACTCATTACTGAGGAGACACACAAAACAAAACAAATTATTATTTTTTTCACAATCACACGTCCACAAAAATTTATCATATTTGTTATATCTATGAAAATACCTATGAAAGTCTCTTGTTTTGTCATGAACACTTTTTTTATTAATAAATTTTTCACTACAATTTTATCATCGTAAAATAGAGGTCGATTTTTAATTAAATATTCAACTGAAATCATTATTTTTATTTAAAATCAAACAATTGAACTCCCGTAGTTGAATTATTGCTAACGGTCACCGTTTAAAATGGGACCCGATTCCAGCCAAATACAGCGACTAGAGGTGCGGTTTCCATGGCAACGGTATAAACAAAAAGTGTAAATGAATCACGGTTGGGTCTCCGTTTTCACCGAAACCTTACCAACGATTTATTCAAGGCACTATATCTATAAATATAAGTTTTGATACAATTGATAGAAATGTTTTCTTGATAATTAACACAAATTTCCTGATAATTTTTTAAATATTGGAAATGACTATTTTGCTATGTCCAGTGTACTTATTAGCTGTGGTATTAGTAAAAGTTGTAATTTCGGGGGGACACGTGCCCTTGTGCCTGGCACCAGCCTAATACATCTTTCAAGTGTTAATTAGGAGTATCAGATTACTACTGTTTAAATCTCCCGCTAGCTTAGTGTATACGCTGCTGCCTGTTGCTATTTTTTTCTACCTTATAAAATCGTTAATCTTTTATCTCTTTCTTATCGGTTATTTTTATCCTCCGTATCCCTATCAGTTATTTGAGGTTATTGGATAATTTTGTTAATTTTATTATCACGCCGTTGCAACGTAACATAATTCTCCAAATTAGCCAAAATGAGTACGGCCGGCAAGGTAATTATTCTTAAGTTCTAAACACATTCTTCATATTAGTGTTTTAGCCTATTACATGTAAAGCGGTAGTTGCATGGGCCGCCAAAGAAGATCTAAAAATTGAAACTATTGAAGTTGCGCCCCCAAAAGCCCACGAAGTTAGAATAAAGATCCTCTTCAGTGCTGTCTGCCATACCGATGCATATACTCTCAGTGGCCAAGATCCTGAAGGTCTATTTCCAGTAATATTAGGCCACGAAGGAGGTGGTATTGTTGAAAGTGTTGGTGAAGGAGTAACAAATGTACAACCAGGTATTTTTCCACTATGATTGTCTTTTTTTTTTAACAAATAATTCACAGGTGATCATGTTATCCCCTTGTACATCCCCCAGTGTGGTGAATGCAAATTCTGCAAGTCACCAAAAACTAATTTGTGCCAAAAAATTAGGGTCACTCAGGGCCAAGGAGTGATGCCCGATGGAACATCTAGATTCACATGTAACGGGAAGCCTGTGTACCACTTCATGGGGTGCTCAACATTCAGTGAATATACAGTAGTTGCAGACATTTCTGTCACTAAAGTAAGATGGTTATGTAACAGTGGTCAAGGCCACTATTCAGCTAATTTTATCTCAAGGTTAATCCCAAAGCACCACTTGATAAAATCTGTCTTTTGGGATGTGGTGTACCCACAGGTTATGGGGCCGCTTTAAACACCGCTAAAGTTGAAAAGGGCAGTACTTGCGCTGTGTGGGGTCTCGGAGCTGTCGGTCTTGCAGTGGGTATTGGTTGTAAAGTAGCAGGAGCTTCCAGAATTATTGGTGTTGATCTTAATCCTGAGAAGTTCAACATTGGTACATGTTATTCATTAAGGAAACGCATTTTTTCATTTTTGGTTTTTATAGCTAAAGATTTTGGTTTCACTGAATTTGTTAATCCCAAGGATTATGAACAGTCAATCCAGGAAGTTTTGATGTTAAAAACTGATGGGGGTGTAGACTTCACCTTTGAGTGTGTGGGGAATGTGCAAACCATGAGAGCAGCTTTAGAATCGTGCCATAAGGGCTGGGGTGTTTCTACCATTGTAGGGGTTGCAGGGGCAGGACAAGAGATCAGTACTAGACCATTTCAGTTGGTTACTGGGAGAGTTTGGAAAGGAACTGCTTTTGGAGGTTTTTCTTCTAATCAGTTTGAATTTTTCCCAACTTGTAATTTTTAGGATGGAAAAGTCGCGACAGTGTCCCAAAATTGGTTGAAGAGTACCTCCAAAATGACAAAGTTATGTGTTTGGATAAATTTGTAACACACAATTTAAAAATGGATGAAATTAATGAAGCTTTTCATTTGATGCATAAGGGAGAGAGGTAAAAAGCCTGATAACACTGACAAGTTTACATGTTTATGCTTTTTAGTATCCGAACTGTTGTTGCTATTTCTGAGGCTAATTAAGATGTTTTGATGGAATTTTTACAAGTAAGGGGTAACAATTTATTATTTTTATAACATTTACTGGAGCCTATGGGTTTTCTTTGTAACAAGATATCAAATAAAGAATGATGAATATATACTCAAATTTTTGTTTATAGTATGTAGTATCCACAATACTTCACAAGACCACTTACTCTCAAGAAAAATCATTAAAAAAACCTTTGTGTCTCTAAGACATAATTATTACAAACAAACAGCTTTCTTTTTTTGCATATAAACTGTACTTAGCGATTATTATTAACAAATTGATATTTTAACCTACAGCCATAAATATATAAAAAAGGAATGAATATTAACTCAGTATTTTTGTTGCCAACATTCTACAAATATGAGGTTCATTAATTGAAGCTATTAAGCAGGCAAATTTTTTGTCTGGTCTCAATGCTTTCAGCGACACGTCAGAAAGCAGGCTTGCAAGAGAAAGACCTTCTTCACTTTTTAAGCTGCCGCTAGGAACTTCTTTCAATAGACGGCATACATTTTTTGTTAAAGTAACATCTTCTTTCAAACTGTTTACTTTGGGCTGAAGACAGTCCTATAATACATTAACTTACACTAACTGACTGAAGCGTAGACTTCTACATACCTTAATAACTATTCCAAGATTCTGTAAGTAATATCTCAAAGCATTAAACATACGCTTTACCTCCTCTGTTTCCGTATCTTGACTCTTTACCACCTCACAAATTAGAATCATAGAATCACAAAGTAATTCTGAAGTCTTTTCAGTCCCACAAAAATTGAGTAAATTTGTTGATAGCATCACCCACTCTGGAGTTACACATACAGCTAACACCTAGAAACAACTTTTCAATTAAAAAACTTGAAATCTAGATCAAAAATACTTTAATTAAATGAGCTACTATTTCTGCATGCTTTTCAAAACTGATTTGGAAGAAATGGGTTAGCGGATTAATGTCGGAATTTGGTCCAAATAATTTCTCTTTATAAAATGTGATAAATAGATCTTCAGATTTAAGTCCCTGTCCTATAACACACTAAATTTGATAGAGAAATGACAAACTATTTGTAACTTACCACTGGAATAAACAACACTTCTATTCATCTTTGAATATTTATCAACGACATCTACTGTCAATTTTACAACTTCCTGGTTGAGCCCATCAAATGTAGAGAAGTTACAGCGACATGATTTCATTAATTCTAATAAGAAATTAAACAAGTTTTCAGTTTTATCTTCTAGAACAATATCTCCATGCAGATCCTAAAATTTGTTTGTCATTGATATTGTCATATGATCGAAAAAAGTTCTCTAGTAAGGCGATGAAAATGGAAATAAAAACAAATTTGATGGTCTACTAGAGATCTATTTTTTTTGCTGCAGTATAATAACTCACCTTTAGAATTTCTAGCCCAAATGTAGTAAGCGTAAAATTTTCTTCATTAACTGAGTCCTGCAGGAGTGGCAGAATTACGTCAGTGACTATTTTTCCAGCGGTAACAACCGGTCCTGCCAGGGCATTGCATAACTGTATATAATTCCGACAATTCTGTTCACACAGTTTATTATTGCTCATTTCATTTTCCAACGCACTCATGCCAAAGTTATCAATGGTTATTATTTCTTTAATAGAAGGCCAAAACGGGGCTAAATTACATGAATAAAACGCATTTTTTGAACATTCGCTAAATATATAACTCAAAGTCTGTTTTGGGTTTTGTAGTAACAATAAATACAGTTCTTTGCAAAATTCATTCCCAATATTCTTATCTTTGATTTTGTTAAAAATCAGTATCAACTGTGGTTGCACATTGTCATTTAAATTATGCGTAATGCCATTTTGGAAAAAGTGTCGTGTTGTAACCAACACTAATTCATTGAAATCTAAAGTTGCAGCACATTTCACAACTACATTTCTCACATCTGTATTTTTTTTGTAAATACTCAAATTAAGTAAGCGTGTTACATCACTCACAGTGCACAGGAATGCCCATCTATCCACACAGTCAATACTGTCTTTACAATCTAATACTTGGGTGTTCAACAATGCCGTAAACCATTGTTTTTGGTTGCTATCTGCTTTGTTGACCATTGCTACCATTGTTGCTTTATCAGCTGAGTAGATTTGTTCATTTATAGTTTTAGGTTTTTTGGCTATTGTTCCCAACATAGTAATCAATTCTTTAGCATGAGTGTTCTTCTGATACTTTTCAATAAATATATAACTTTTGCTAGCAATTATCATTTGGAGAATTTCATCTTCATGCTCCACCTAAAGAACACAATTACTTTTGTGCATGATTTTATAACAAAAATAATACCTCAGCCCACGAACAGTACACATCTAACGTAACAGCCATCATAATAGAACAACACGTTTTTATCAGTTTTTCTATTATTTTTTCCAAATTCTTGTTTTTTTCATTACACAGTAAAAGTAAATCTAACAAATTCAGCAGCGTATAGCCCATACACACATAAACTGAATCAATTCTCGCATTTTCGATTTGATGTCCATGCAAACCAGTTAAATTTAATAACATCTGAGACGCAATATCAGTGAAACTTTCAACAGCAGATGAATCATTAGCGACCATTATTTTAGTTATTATTAATTTTAAATACTCATATGCATTAACCACGTGTATTTTTAATTTGCACTTTTTGATACACGGAACAATTTCAAGCAAAATTTGTTGAATTACATTTGAATCAAAGCGGTGAAGTGCATTACAGAAATGTTTGCTTAAATCCAGGCCTACGATGACATTGGCTAACAAACATGTGGAGAGTTGAGGCGTTATGTTAATCAAATGTTCAAAACCTGGCTCATTTAGCGGTTCTTTAAATTCGGTATTAAGTATAAGAAACAAACAAATCTCTTTAAGTTGTTCATCGAAAGCATCATTAATTTGTTGATTTTTTATGTAGCTCTTTGAAGAAAGGAACTTAAGTAGCTCACTCGATAAATTCAAAATGGTTGATTCATGACCTACAAGTTGCATTAAGTCAGAATTAATTAGCTACTTATTAATTATTTAAATCGAACTTACCTCCTCGGTGTCTGACTTTTGCGAGTGGCCCGGCGGTTTTTTCCACACTTAATAATATTCCCTGAACGTTAATGAAATCTTCGTTTAAATTCATATTTGTATTTAGTCGTTTGTTCAAAAACCTTAAACTTTTTAAAATTAACTAATGTAACAACCGCAAACAGCAGCTAGCAAAAACAGGGAAAAACATAACCTAAATCTACAAAAACTTCAAAGAAACAAATTGACTACACGTTGATGCTTTTCATCTACTGAAAATATGTTGTTTTAATTTATAATATATTGTTAATACATTAAGAAACCGTTTTTTTTTTTTAAACAACACGTATTTTAGTTGTGAAAGAGTAATATTAATTTAATAAATATATATACATACTCGTTTTCCGATTGCGGTTAAATTTTGCTAGTAGTTCAAATGTCCCAAATCCTTAAATACATTATATCTACTCGCGAACTGTCAAAATTCATAACCAACACATTTATGTTTTAAACAATTGTTGTTTCCAGTCAGTTATTTCATTATGTGGAAAACTTTCCAGCATGAGGACAAACTCTACATGCTTAAAATAATTTACGAAGAAGACTTGGAGCTATATTTAACCGATTTACAAAATTTATGGATCCAAAAACTTTCGAAAGAAGCAGTCCTGCTAAAGTTCCAAGTAAATCTACATAAGAAATAAATTGTTTATTATTGTTCATTCATATGTATTTGTAGGAGTGCAATCCCTTGTTTGATATTAAAATTGATGAAGCTGTAGCAGAAGTAGTTGAGTTAATAAATCAGATAGCAGAAGCTGGAAACCTTATTTTAAGCACCAATGGAGATGAGCTACAATTATCAGCAGAATCTGAGAAGTCAGAAGTTAAAATAAAATTTCAATTCGATTTTATTAAATCGACGCAAGATATGGTATGTATGTTGTTGCACATTTTTTGAAGCAATGGTAAAATGTAGGAAAACAGCATTTTTAAAAAACGCTCTTAAATACCAACAGCAATGAAGTGTTTTTTTTTTTCATTTTAGACTTTTAAAAACTAAATGATTTTTTTTTTAATTTAGTGCTGTTACATATTTTCTCCAAGAAAGAAATGTTAACGTCTACTAGTCACAAAAATCTTGTTAAAAGGTTATGTTAATATTGACTTGCGTCAAACTGAGGGCAGTAATAAACCTACTACCGAAAGTTTAATCATTTTATTTTCAATCGCACAATATAAAAAATATTTAGTTTCTCAGTTGGCCTGGAGAATACATCATGGCGCATGTATCTTTTCCTGTATGAAAATGTCACTCAGACTAAAACTCCTAAGTACAAACTTAAGTGGGATTTATAAACTTGCTGTTGACGTTGAAGTTCCCGTTGCAGTTGCTGTTCCCACTGACGTCATTTATAAACTCCGTTGCCAAGTTATCGTTGATAGTAACTTTGATGTTCAACTTTTGCCGTATTTAAAGCGATTGTAGAAGAAAAATGGAGGATTTAAGTTGATTACCACAAAAATTTACCATTTTAGAAATGTTTTAAAAAGGAAAAATGTAGCCCCGCCCACCCGCCCTATCTTAATTGTGATGATTTTTTTTATTTGTCGAGAGCCAAGGGGGTGGAGCTTAATTGCAAAATCCTTATTTCTCTACGAGAAATTAAAAACATGGTTGTGAGTATCGTGTTGTTCAAAGAATACTATGTATATTAAGGAAAAAATAAAACCAAAGATTAGGCCCAACCCATACCCACCCCGATCTCAATTCTCAATTGTGATTTTTTCATTCGTTGTCAGATCGAGGGGCGGGGCTTAATTGGAAGATCCATATTTGTTTACAAGAATTTACCACCTTAAACAGGTTTTAAATTTCTTGTTCTGAAAAGACGACTACATATATTAAGAAAGAGAGCAAAATATAAGCCCCGCCCGCACCATCTAAATTGTGATGATTTTTTTTATTGTTGAGAGCCAAAGGGGTGGAGTTTAATGACAAAATCCTTATTATTTCGCTACAAGCAATTACCATGTAAGACAATCATGTTTTTGAGTATCGTGTTATTCAAAGAATACTATGTATATTAGAAAAAATTAAAGGCAAAGATTAAGCTCCACCCATACCTGCCCTGATCTAAACAGTAATGAAGTTTTCAGTGGCAGACCTAGAGGCGGAGTCTAGTTGCAAACTTCATATTTCCTTACAAAAATTTATCGTGTTTTAAGTTTCCAAGAATAAAAAAATCATCACAATTGAGATGGGGGGGGGGGGTTATATTTTGCCTTTTTTTCTTAATATACATAGTATTCTTTCAACAACACAATACTCAAAAACATGTTTTTAATTTCATGTAAAGAAATAAGAATTTTGCAGTTAAGCTCCGTTCCCTTGATTCAGGGTGAATAAAAAACTCACCACAATTGAGATAGGACGGGTGGGCGGGGCTACATTTTTCCTTTTTTTCTTAATATGTGCAGACTTCTATTCCCAACAAGAAACTTAAACATTTTTAAAATGGAAAATTTGTATAATGAAATATCGATTTTGCAATTAGGCTCCATCCCATAATTGCAAAATCCATATTTCCTTGCAAAAATGTACCATTTTAACCATGTTTTAAGTTTTTTGTTGTGAAAAAATGACTATGTATTTTAAGAAAATAAAGGCAAAATATAAGCCGCGCCCACCCGCCCTATCTCAATTCTGATGATTTTTTTTATTCGTTGTAAGGTGAGGGGCTGAATTTAATTGTAAAATCCGTATTTTTCTATGGAAAATTACCATGTAAAATATGTTCTTAAGTAATCAGGTTATACAAAGAAAACCAAAAGAGCAGCCCCACTCATTCGTCTCGATCTCAATCCTGATAAATTTTTCATTCGTTGTCAGACCGAGAGGTGGAGCGAAATTGCAAAATCGGTATTTCCCTATACAAATTTACCATTTTAAACATGTTTTAAGTTTCTTGTTGTGAACAGATGACTACAAATATCAAGAAAAAAGGCAAAATGTAAGACTCGCCCATCTGCCCTGTCTCAATTGTGATAATTTTTTTATGCGTCGTGAACCAAAGTGGTGGAGCTTAATTGCAAAATCCTTATTTTTCTACAAGAAATAAAACACATGTTTTTAAGTATCGTGTTGTTTAAAGAATACTATGTATATTAAGAAAAAAACAAGCCAAAAATTAAGCCCCACCCGTATCCATCCCAAGCTCAATTGTGATGAATTTGTCATTCGTTGTCACACCGAGGGGCGGAGCCTAATTGCAAAAGCGATACTTTCCTACAAAAACTTACCATTTTAAACATGTTTTACCTTTCTTGTTGCTAAAAGAAGACTACACATATTTAAGAAAAAAGGGCAAAATGTAAGCTCTTGTAGTTTTATAATACCTAATCTGTTTTTGAGACGAATAGCAATAAATCTTGTTGATTTAAACGTCGAGAACTACCTTTAACAACGCATAAGTACTGACAAAAAGCTACACTGTAGAAAATGATGGCATCTATTTAAAATATGAGGGTGTCGGTGAACAGGTGGTTAAATGGCTTAATATTAGTGGATCTCTTTATCTCTATCAAAATTTGATTTTCCTGGAATTAGTGCTGTCAACCAGAAAAATGTCCCCCCTACTTCAAGGGGTTTTCCTTCAAGTTGGCACCACTGCACACTACCGCAATTTGATTGGTCGAAAACCCAACGTCAACGGCAACGTAACGACGAAAGTTAAAAGGTGGTCATCTTGAACGTCACCCCAACTGCCTGCCAAGTTGCAACGGTAAACGTCAACGGATGATATAAACGACGCATACCTTTGCTGCATATTTATCTTGCAACGGCAGCGTCAACGGCGAACAGCAACATCAGCAGCAGGTATAAATCGACCTTTATTTATTTATTCATGTGTATAAACGTTAGTCTATATTACATGAATATAATGACGTTATTCAAATTTGGGCTTCCTATATAATACTTCAGAAAATCACCTGATTTCATTTTTTTATATGTGCTAATTGTAACACAAATTAGCCAAAATAATCTGAGAAGAAAAATAAAAATTGTTGCAAGTTACATGTAATTTTACTAAAAATCAGACTTTGTTTTTTTTTTATATGACTGTTATTATGACTATTCCTACATTTTGCCTTCATAACGAAATCTTTACAAGGAGTTCTACATTTGATGTGACACTGGAAAAATTGCAGTTTCTTAAAGAAGTTACAGTGCCTCTAATTCAAACTGTCAAGCACTTAGAAGCCTGCCAAAGCATTCTTTGTAATTTAGTCAAGAAAAAGGATCGAGAATTAGAAGAATATAAACTTGAAAAGGGTTTGATTTCTAGAGGTACAACACAACTACTTGTGAATAAAAAATGTGTTCTAATTTTCTGATCTAGATGATTTAATCACTGAGAGATTTGATGATGCCATGTTAAACAATATTGATGATAAGTCAATGATGAACGTATTTGGTCAGTCAAAACCGTTTTGGGATAGTTTCACAAGACAATATGGAACCATAGAGACCAAAATTGAAGAGTGAGTGAACCGATAATCTCTTAGACACAAAAACTAGTGCGAAATTTTCAGTATTAAAATGGATCCATGGAATCATATGAAGCGTAAGAGAAAAGTGTACTCTGCAAAAACAGCAATTAAAAAGGGTAAAGGGATAAATTATGACAAAGAAAAAAGTGAGTGATGGGTTAATTTATTTAAAAAATATATATGTATATCTGTATAAATAGACGAAACTATTTTATGTTAACAAACTATAATTGTTTTAATTATACATACTATTACTACATATGTTTTTACCTAAATGGGGTCATCACTTGTCCAAATTCGGTCACCCTAAAATTGTTCATGCTAGAAACGTCATGTATTTAGCTGTGTTAGATCATGTTGGGTAAATTAGGTAATGTACTTGGTGCTCTAGTGGTACCTTCTATTCGTGTCATCTACGCCATTGTGGTTTAGACATGTGTGATTAATATCTACAATACTTACAGAATCCTGATTATGTAAATCTCTATCTGTAAACTGTTTAATAGGAGGAGGAGTTGTAGTGTGAGCCAAGACATATAAACTATTACTTTTTATTTTAATATCTGTCGCATAAATAACATTTCCCGACTTGACGTTGCTTGCAGAAGAATAAAACCTACACAAATCAATTATGTAACTTTTAATCACTCTTTATAAATCTTACGCCAAAATTGAGCGCGGTGTCTTTACACTCTCAGCTTCAAATTCCTCAATATTATCATCAAAACCAAAATCTTTAATTATAATAGTTTCATCTTGCGCATTTTTAGTCAGTGGCAGAACTGAATTACTTCTCTTACTTTTCTGCGTGTTCGTCATACTAATATTTTTACACGTTTTATAAGATGAGCCCCAGAACCACAAAACATTCGTATTGTCAAGGGCTATCGTGAAATTCAACCCACACGCGACCATCTGAAATACTAATTTCATTGCATGCTACGCCGAAGTGAAAAAAACTGACTGTAATCTTATTTTTTAATTTAATCGTTTGTGGTTGAGTGTAGTGGATGTAATTCCGTTTCCCTAACTGACCTTCCGAGTTTCGACCCAAGGCAATTATAGTTCCGTTTTCGGTCAACATCATCGTGTGGTTAGGGCCAACTGAAACAAATTTGATTTTCTCTTTTAATGGAATAGGGGTGAATAAGGTAATTTTGCCCTGTTCTGGAACTCCTAGTTTGAGGTGGTCGTTGCAACCACTAACCAGTACTTGTCCAGTATGTGTTAATAAAACGCTTTCATTGTCTCCACAAAAAATGTTTTTGATTTTTGTTAAGTTTAGGAGTTTGATGGCTAATGGCATGCATCTGCAATAAGATGGGTTTGTATTTTTGTCTTTTGTTCAGTTCATGTTTAGTTAGGAGCGCATAAAGTCCGTAAACGGTGTGCTACCAATTCGTATTTGTACTACTACAATAATTAAAATTTATTTTATACATTACTGTGTTTAAATTTCTCGCTGAAAGTTAGTTCGTAGTTTCATAAAACGGCAATTGTTTAAACAAGAATGAATCGCATTCGACGCCAGGGTCTCCCTGCAACGAGTGTAAGTAGTGTAAGACCATTTAATTGGTAATTTTCTAATCTTAAATGTGAAAGTTTTCACTCGAGATTTATAATAGTTTATTTATGGCATTTAAACTAATTAAACGTTGATTCATTTTGAAAGAAAAGGCCTTGAGGATTATCAACAGTAAAATTAATATCATGGTGGACACGAAATGGGAGGTGCACTTTACGAATATGTTTATTTTCTAATATATTAATCTGTATTATCCTCGCAGAGCTTGAATTTGCACATTTATTCTCGAAGGATTATTATGATGTTGATCATTTAATATGTGCCTTGTTATGTTTATTTCATGTGTTTCGTTTTATGTGTTGTGTAAATTTATTGAGTCCATGATGTAATTTGATGAATTAATTTATGTGTAACCATTAACTTGAATTCATGTCTAATTTAACCTCATGTAAATTTTTTCTTAAAATTATTTCCAGACTGTGCCTTAATTAATTGTTGCTTACTTCATTTCTTGAAAGTCTAATCGCTATCCAGATATACTCGTATTTCTAAGTTCGAGAAACGTAGGGTTTCATTTTTAATTATAAAAAAACACAGGATCACGTAGTGAAAGCAAACACACCTACCAAACATAAAAAAAAAACACGCAATGTGGGGTTCAATTTTTGTTGACGATCACACATTCGGTCAAATTTTGGCGGGATGTTTGGTTAACATAGCACTCACATCAGAGTGCCTTTAACTAATTGGCAACAAACGCATAAAATGCATGGTTTTGTATGCACTGCTACTTAAACTTGAACTGACCTGGAATGGAGGTGAAATGTACGTAATACCTATACTGTGTATGACCTTGTCCGAGCTGGCCGTTTTTGGAAGAACCCCAAGTAAAGACTTTTCCATCGGTCGATAAGGCAACCACGTGTTCATCACCACAACGAATTTGTGTAATATTTACGTTTCCTAACGAATCTGTTATGCGAAAAGAATTAATTAATACAGACTAATTATAAAGAAGAGAATTGTGAATAGGTTTTTACGAAAGAGAAAGTAAAAGTATTCTACTAAAAAAGTAATTAAATGATGGAATAAATTCCTTCTTAAAAAAAAAACAATAACTACTTCGTTTTAAAAATGTTTTCAAGTTTTACCGACAGTGTGAAATGTTTCAACAATATTATTAAAGGTGTTTTATAAGATTAAATTGAATTTAAAGTTGTGACCACGAAACAGATAATCCACAATTGGTGAAAGTTTTAAAACTTAGATCTCAAATATCTTGACTTTTAATTACTGTCTGAATTATCATTGGTGGTCCTGAGAAAGGAAAAAAATGTCACTAAATTTTGTAGTTTGCATACGAGTCCAAACCACACCACTCGAGCATTGTGTGAATGTCTCTTCCGAAATGTTAAATAACTCAAAGTAAGCAAATAAAAAGTTTATAATAAAAATACCAATTATTTTAGGAGTTTGTAGTGAATTCCAGTCACCATGTCCTAAGCATCCTCCCTGCCCATCTCCGCAACTAAAAACTATTCCTTCTTTATTTAAAAAGATACTAAATCCTTTCCCAGCGGCACACCTTTAATTATTATAATAATTAATACCTTTACTTAATTAGTGAAAATATTTTTACATATACATACTTAACAATTCGTTTCCCTCGTAAAGAATTCACCAACATTGCAAAAGCTCTATTGCGTATCCCGTCATTTAAAGCTAACTCGCCGTAAGTGTTTTCACCCCATGTATAAACGTTATGATCTAAAAGCACACAAAAGGTAATGTGCAACTAAATGCAACGTAACATGTTACAAAGCCGTTATATCGAAAATAGTTATACACAATTCGACTTATCACAATGTAAGAAAAAAAAAAAGGATTAATCTATCATACTGTAATCCCCATACGGCCACTGCCTTTGATTCTAATGTTACGAAAACATATTGTGTTGACTTGTTTATATTTAGTCTGGCGTGCAAAATCAGTTCGCACTTTTTCACCGATAACAGGAAACGGAGATTCAGTTAATAATTGCTCCCAAAATATGAATGCTTTGATAAAGCACAAGACCATTACCAACTACACAATATTTTTAACACACATGTAGAATTTAACAACAATTGGCCTCGCGGTTCGGAGATTATCTGTCGAATAAAAATCTACACAGGCGGTAGACAGAGAGAAGGAAACGGAAGACCTCTTGTTTCGTACTCCTGGGGTCATGAAAACGTCCAGAAAACTTGAAAGTAGGCATTCGTCGACTGGACTCTATTACAATACTTCCCGCTATAAACAGACTTATTGTTATGAAAAAACGCAAAAGCAGTTTTTTTTAACAGTTTATCGTTATCTTTTTAGTATTTTGGTGAAATTTTTCATCATGTATCTTTAAAAACCAATATCTCCATTACTTATAGAAATTTTGTAACGCAGTTTTCACCACTATTTTCAGCTCACAGAACTTTATACGTTACCCGGGAAGTATTGTCGAATTTTTTGTCAGAAATATGCTACATTAAAACGAAACTTGTGACGAAGAAGCTGGATCTCATTTTCAATAAAAAAATTCTACAATGTTTTCCAAGCCACATAAAGCTTTAGAAGCTGAAAACATTGGTGAAAACCGCGTTCTGAAATTTTCATAAATAATTGAAATCTTGATTTTGAAAAATATGTGATGAAAAATTTCACCAAAGTTTTAAAAAGAATGCTGATTCATTATTATAACCTTAATTTTCAAATTTAGAGTTGCGTGTAGTAGTGCATTTGGTATATGTTCTGAAAAGCTGTTGATGGATGAGAATTTAGATATTTCTTTTTCGTTCGATTTTTCGGCTTTGTAACATTAGATAACGTTTTGTATTTAATACCTGAGACAACGACAATATAGTGGGTACAACTGACGGAAAAATCCAAGATCGTTTTGTGAGGCAGCTCCTGAGGTATTACTTTTTGATCTATACCAAAGTCATAAATTTTGTACAAAATTGATCGTTCTCGTGGAACTCTTGAAAGTCATACATTTTATTAACCTAAAAAATTAAAGACAACTCACCCCAAATTTAAAGAAGTATTTGTAGATGAAAAAGCCCTGCTGTTTAAAGCTTCATTTTTTTTCATTATTTTTGAAAGTATAGAGTCGTAAATATACTTGGCTGATGGCCTTTTGGTCGGATTTTTTTGAAGAATCGTGTGAACTAGATGCGATAATTCTTTGGAATACATTTGAGGAATACTTTTATAGTCACACTAAAAATAAAAAAAATGCGTACAATTATATACTACAGAAGTTTGATTCAATACATTTGTAATCTTTTGTACCAGAACAGGCAACGTCATTGCTTCGAAAGGCTTTTTTAAACAAACTAATTCGTATAAAATACATCCCATTGCCCAAATATCAGATTTTTCGTTATAATCATAACCTTCACACTAAAATGACTATCTATGAAAACAAGACAAAGCGAAAATTAATAAATACCATCTCTGGACTTAAATAATACGGAGTTCCAACAACAGTTTGCGCCTGAGATCTAGTATTCAGCACTTTCGATATTCCGAAATCCCCAACTTTGACATTACCATTCATGTTTAGAAAGATATTGGCAGATTTTAAATCCCTTAAAACTCTGTTTTATTTTTTCGAATGGAAATTTCCTATAAATTACCTATGCAGAATTTTATTCGCGTGCATGTAAGCTAGTGCGGCACATATTTGCGAAATTATGTTTAAAACGCTCTTTTCCGAGAACACTTCATTTTTATTCCTTTTTGCATTAATGAGCTGAGTCAAGTTTCCACCATCTGCATACTCCATTACGATTATTAATGACCCTTCCTTTTGAAAACTTCCGAGATATCTGAAATTGATGGATTGAATTTTGGTGGAGGCGCCGGTTCAGTAATTCGCATCTACTTTATGATGTTGGGGTGATTTAGTGTAGACAGTATTTCTACCTCATTCAGAGCAGCCCTTCGTTCCGAATTATCCATATCCATGATAAACACTTCCTTCATGACCACTTGTTTTCCGTCATGAATTCGTCGATATAGAGTTGCCGTACCGAAAGCTCCTAGAGTGGAGATAATAGATGAAGCAATTAAAAACGTGAAAATACCTTGTCCGACGGTCTTTAGTTTTTCGTAATCTTCATAAAATTTACTGGTGTTCATTTTGTCGTGATCGTATGGCAAATGAGGTAATTTTTGTGTACAATAATGCGTGCCATGGAAACATAATTATGGGATTTCGATGAACTTCATGAATAATAAATTTGCTTTAATAATTCAAATAAAACCAAGTATTGACTTTTACATTTATTCTCATACATTAACTTGCTCTTGCTATACATTCATTTGTATCACAATATTTTTAAAATGCTAATTGCGCAATTCAATATGGTCCCAGCAAGCAATATCAGTAAACAAATTTCTTAAATTCGATGTGCCTAACTCATAATGCACCGATAGAATTTTGTGAATATTGTATAGATTTTGTATTTAAAGCACTTTGGAGTTCAACTATAAGAAACACGCCTCGTACTTAAAACATTCTCAGCAGTATGCATGTCGAGGATTCGAAGCTACTAATTATCTCACCGTGATTTTCCTACACATACAGGTCACAGTCTAATTTCTTTATTAATTCAATAGCCACAAACTTCGCAACTATGCATATCACTGTTTAAATTGTATAACTATTTTTAACAACTAAGTATTTAGCTTTGCCATAAATATTAAGCGGTATATCAGTCTTACTAAAGAAGAAACATTTATTTGAGTATCTCCACTCGTTTTACACGTAGGTATAGATGCGTAAATAATTGAAAGACTCAGTATGTTTAACTGGTTGATAATTGGTATGAATATAGCGTAACTATTGAGTATATGTAAAACGTTCGAATATACCCAGTGATACAGTTGCATATGATATTTGTGCGTTCTTCTATGACAGTGGATTAAGTGGTGAATACTTTATCAAGATTATTTTCTATGAAAACATAATCAGATGAGTCAAAAAAGAACAGTTATTGCTTTACCTAGTTATTCTTAGTGTGTACGGAATGAAAAAGAATAAATATGTACTGTAAACTGCTAACCATTCTGATAAACTAAAGCCAAAGAGCGAATGAAAAGTTCGAATTAATACTGAGGCTATCAAATAAATATCTACCAATTGAAGGAAATATAAAAATTTAGGAATATGTTATAAAAAGATATTTTGTTTCCTAATTAAAAACATCCAACATTTAAAACTCTACGCAGAGGAACTGATGTGTCTACGATATTTCTATGTTAACAGTAACAATTATAATACAAATATTCCACGATAAGCATCGCCAATTTCACATATATGTTCTCTTTTACATTTTAACATTTTGAGCGTGTATGTGTTACGTACATTTTTAAAGCTTTGCGTACAGTTTACACCACATACTTATTTGATAGCTCAATAAAAAACTATTGACAATAATATGATTGCAGTCTTTGATTTAACATGCAGAACATGCACGAATTTGGAGCTCCGTTTTAGGTTTGAGAAGATCAGAGTTTTCTTCTTTGATTGGTTCATGCAGAGCATATCCCTAAAATATTTACATTTTTAAAATGACTGAGTTAAAATAGTGTAAGAAGCGAATGTGTCATAATGACTCACTTTTTGTTCCCGTTTTTCTCGAATTTTCCTAGCTAAGCTCATAAAAGACGCTTCAATGTTAACATTGTCCTTACAAGAAACTTCAAAATGCGTCAAATCGAAATGTTCCGCAATCTGGAAAATGTAATTGGTTTAGTGGTGGATGTTTGGTGAACATATTTACCTTTTGTCCACTCTCTGAGTCAACAATTCTGTCGGATGATTCACATTTATTACCAGCCAGAACTGTGATTACATGTGGGGAAGCATTCTGCAATGTCAATAATGTAACAAAAAAAAATTACGAGAACAAAGTAAAACCTCTTCTATGTTTTGAAGCCAGTATGTAATATGATTGAAAGATTCTAAATTAGTGACGTCATATAAAAGTAAAATTCCCATTGCTCCTCTATAGTAGGCTGTTGTTAAGGTCCTGAACCTTTCTTGACCTGCGGTGTCCCAGATTTGTAATTTGATTGGAACACCGTCTAGATTGACGATTTTTTGTTTAAAATCTATCCCTGAAATAGCAGTAATATATTATTAACAATATCACCATATTGCGTAAACTAGAAGAATTATTTTCTACTTACCTATTGTAGATATGTAAGTGTCGTAATATCTTTCATCACAGAAACGATGCACTATGCATGTTTTACCAACATTTGAATCACCTAAAACTAAGATTTTATATGTAGCCGCGAAATCTAGCGCCATTTTTTATTATCGATTTCATATTGCTATATCTACACCTGATGCGCAACAATTGATTTTTAATCAAAGTTCACGCAAGCGCACATCTACGTCTCTACATGTGTCATTTAATCAATCGCGATATGCCTACCTCAACAATTTAAATTTAAGGGTTGCAGCCAGTGTGCATGCAACAGCTGTCAAAATAAAAATTTCAGATTATTCAGCACTTTTTTTCACCAAATGTAAATTATTTTTAGAATATAACAAATGAGTTACGAAATATAATACAAGAATGTGATAAAAATATTGCTAAAAACAGCAACAATGGATAGATCAAATGTTGTGTTATGTGAAATACAAAATTGATAAATTTTAAAAAATGTCGGTTGAAAAAAAACCGATTTACGATATTTCTGTTTTTTATGCATTTTTTAAATAAAACAACCGGATATAATTGTCAAATCAAACGAACTTACCTGTGAAGTTCGATTCCAATTATATTAGACGTCCAGTCCGAAGATATCACTTGATTTTAGATACTGGTAGTATGCCCTTTGTGCTACTCTACGCCACTGAGTTTAAAAATTGTTATTTCCCCCTCTCTGGGTACTGCTCCACCGATTCTCCGTTGCTGCGTCATTTTGTTTAAAGTGGAATGCACAACCTGGCGTGAGGGTAAAGATTTATGCCGTGTACGGGTTGGGTGGGAAGTGATATCTTCGGACTGGACGTCTAATATAATTGGAATCGAACTTCACAGGTAAGTTCGTTTGATTTGACAATTATATCACGACGTCCAGTCCTCGATATCACTTGATTTTAGATACTGGTAGCTGTTTAAAGTTAGTAAGGTTGTGCAAAAAAGAATAAGAACTTGCCCCCTAGTGTAAATTGGTCAAGGTAACAAGATTGATATTTTGCGGTCTGTAAAATTTTTCGTCCGAAGGCGAATGTGTCCCGCAAGGGTCGATTATAGACTTGTGTAAACATTTTGGAGGTATTAGACCACCCACACACGTTTTGTTTATCATCGCTGAAGACAGCCCGGTCGTTTTTCTGAAGAGCTCGATGCATGTCTCGTGGAATGGGGCGTGAAAATTGATATGTCCACCCCCGATTTTTCCAATATACGTTTGATCCAACGACTAAAGGTTTTGGTTGTGTCTATGTAGTCCGTGAGCGTGATTGCCGCACATGTCGCTGGTTGGTCGAGGAAGTATGGAATGTGCAGTCAGGGCTGTTCCCCGCTGCGAATTGAAGGTTTCGTGGTGTGATCAATGACAAATTTTGAAACCTTGTTCGTCTTCCCCAATCTGAGACAATTTGATAAGATGCAGTGCCTGCAGCCGTTGTCCTGTTATCAACGCTAGTAGGGTAATTAATTTTGCTGATAAAAGGCTGAGGGGGCGAGGGTGCTGGGCGAAGTACGTTTTCAGGTGTCCTAAAACACGACTGAGGTCCCAAGTCGTTTGATATTTGAGTTTTTGGGGCCTCAATCGTTTTATGCCTTTAAGACAATCGTTTTATGCCTTTAAGAAACCTTCTTAGATTACTGTCGTTTCCAACATCGGCGGGCAGGATGACAGCTAACGCTGAGCGATGGGAGTTGAAGGTGCTATTAGCAGCATTCGTTTTTGTATACAAATGTTGTAAGAAGATGATTACCGCCTCTGTTTGGGTGGTGTAAACAGGGATTCCCTTTTCGTAACAATATCTCTATAACTTGTAGCTGACGTTATATTGTCTTAAGGTGCTGGGAGTAATGGACGCTATTGCAGTGGTGATAGCCGCTGGTGGCATTCCCTTCAAGCGTAAGCCTTCCCCGATAATTTCCCTGCCACCAGGGTGAGGTTGGCTGCAAGTAGATGACGTGTCCTGAAAGGGGATGTTAACAGTGACTCGTCTGGTTCAAAAAATATAACTGGGCTAGTCAACAGTCTTTCGAAAAATGGGGACCATGGTTGTGAAGGCCAATGCGGCATTACCACTACGCCCTCAGCTTTGTGCGTAAGACTAGAGCAAACGGTGGGAAAGCGTAAAAGTAATTATAGTTCCAGGGAACAGTAAATGCATCACATGCGATTGCGCCTGGATCTTGATGCCACGACATATATTGGGGCCATTTATGATTCAACCGCGATGCAAATAAATCTATGGTGGGGCAACCAAACCGTTGAATAATTTGTTGGAAAGCTTTTTCATTGAGACTCCATTATGTATCTGTGGAGTGTTCGTGATTCGCGATCTGCGTCTATATTGTCTTTTGGAGGGGATATGTGCCGCGTATAATCATAAATCGCGTATTTCACACCACTGCCAAATTTCCATAGCTAAATCGCCTAGTTGTGGGTGTCGAACGCTACCCATTTTTGATATAGCTTAGCGCGGTGGTATTGCCTGTTCTGATCAGTATGTTGCATGATCTGAGTGGTTTACAAAAACCATTTTAGACCAAAAAATGTTGCTAGTAATTCTAGATAATTGATATGTTTATACGTTTTTCTTTCTCTTATTCCACCAACCGTGTCTATTCTCCCCGTTGCAGTGTGCCCCCCCCAACCGTTTAAAGAAGCGTCGGTGGAAATGATTCGCTGATACTCGTCTTACTGAATATTGTTTTTTTTTTTCTTTACTCGAATTGCGGTGTTCCACCGCATGAAGTCTGGCAGAAAAACAGCTGACAGTTGTATTTTTGCTTTATAGTTTAAAGCATGGTGGGAAAGCGCTTTGCATTTTCCTCCTTCTAGTTGTCGAGTATATAGCCAACCGTATTTAATGGCGGTTGTCCGAATGTGGAGTTCTTGACGTTTCTCCGGATGGAGAGCAATTGTCCTGGTTTTTCTGTTAAATAAAAAACCCTAAGTACTGACATGTCTGTGAGGGGTGTAGCTGACTCTTTGATTCATTGATTATGAATCCCAAGGATTGTAGGACGTGAACGGTTTTTCCCGTTCCCCGTAGGCAACCGGAATATGAGTTGCCAAGTATGAGAAAATCGCCTAAATATTTGGCGCATAAATTACCTTGAGAATGCAAGTAAGTAACCTCGTAATTTTGCTAAATACATTCGGAACTATCGCTAATCCGAAAGGCAGCGCTGTAAATTCGTACAGGTTTTGTTCAAATTTAAATCTCAAATATTTCCGAAGACTTGAGTGAATTGGGATGAATAAATACCCATCGGTAAGATCGAGTGACGTCACATACATGTTAGGCTGTAAAAGTCGTGTGACGGTACGATAATTATAATTATAATTATAATCATCCATTTTGAAGTGAGGTGTCAAAATGAATTGGTTTAAGCGTTTTAAATTAAAGATGAACCTGGAGGACAGCTTCGATTTTTGGCGAAGAAAATATGGGGACAGGTGTTGCTATCTCGATTGCCCCGGTGTTTAATAATTAGGATACGACCTCGGCCAAAGCTGTGTTTTGGGTGCGTGGTAGCTTTCACGTAGGCGGTGCTACTTGATATGGAGTGGCTTGGAATGGGATTTTATAGCCCTTAATCCAGTTTAAGATGTTTGTATTTTTGGTGATCTTTCACCAGACCAAGACATAGTGACTTAATTTGACCAGCATAACGGTGGTTTACCTCAGTTAACGGGGTTGATGGCGATTGTATTTCGTGTGGCTGGATGCCGGGGGTTGCCCTCGGTATGATCTCGTCTCTCCCTGGCGGCGAGTCGGGCCTGCCCGGTTTAAAGACCTATTGCCAGACGTTGATTGTGATGAACCGACTGTTGGTTTGTTCTAGTTTGCCCCGGCGTCTTTTTTCCTGCGAGTTCCCGTGGGAGGGCCAGGAGGCGGGGCCTTCAGGTCGTAGCCCGACTTTTGGAGGGCTTTGGCAGTCTTTAGGCGCTCTGCAAGGACCTCGCCAAAAAAGGGAGGTATCAGTCTGACTTTGTGCAATGTTTCTTTTGCTGACTTGTTGAGATAGGGCAAGACTGGTGTCGCCCGAATTATGACATATGGTAAAAAAAGTTTGTCAAATTTTTTATTGCGTCGGAAACCAATGTCAGAAGCTCTGGCTGTGAAGGGGTGGAAGTCAATAATATATTGAAGGCTTGACCCAATGGTGCCAGCCCAAGGCCCACGTGTTGCTGAGCCGAAAATGCGTGGTTGTCTTTTTTGACGATCAGAGCGGGTAACGCTGGCATCAGTTTCGAGTTTAAAATTGGCGCCTGTAAGTTGGGGCAATTTTTTGGCAGGAAGTATTTATTTTTAAAGACCACGAACTATCCAAGCCGTTAGCTACATAAAGAGTCCAACGACTAGCGAGAGCCGTGTGCAAGGCAAACTCGGTAGTTTTTGATTCGGAAAGGATCGGCGCCAAATATGGTCAAGATCTCCTCCTCCAGAGCCGGGCCTTAGATCGCTAAAATGGGCGAGTCCGGTTCTGTCTCCGCACGAGACGTGGGGTCCGGTTCTGGCTCGGCGCGAGACGCTGAGTCCGCTGGTTTGTCGCTCGAATGTTCGAAGCGTGTTAGCTCGCTGGCGCTGGTGTGATCGACGCTCGCACCTGTGTGTGGGCTGCGTGATCTGGAGCGGCTGGTGGACCGACGAGGACGCCGACTTTTTGCGCGTTCTCGTACGTCTGCTGGGCTGCTTTGACGACGACACTGCCGAGTGGTTACGCAGTTCCGTACATCTGAGTGTTGGCGGTCTCCGCGATAAGAACGCCGAGTCTTTACGCGTGTCTTATCGTGGGACAGGGAGCGGTCGCGACGGCGATGTTTTCGCCTTCGCTTGCAACGGTCTTCCAACGTTCGTAAGCGCCGTTTCAGCTCCCCGCGCGAAAGGCGAGCCGAGGACTCTGAGGAGGTACGGCGATTGTCGGCTGGCATTGTTGCCTGCAAGAGATTGCTGGAAGTCTAAAAATGTTAGAAAGATTACCTGTGCAGATGAACAGGATGTTCTGATGCAACACAGTGAAAAGATAATTTGCTGGTTGCAGAGACTCGTGGTGTCGAGGCGGCCACAAAGGAACGAATGACGCAGCAACGGAGAATCGGTGGAGCAGTACCCAGAGAGGGGGAAATAACAATTTTTAAACTCAGTGGCGTAGAGTAGCACAAAGGGCATACTACCAGTATCTAAAATCAAGTGATATCGAGGACTGGACGTCGTGATATAATTCGATCAAATTAGGAATGGCTAAATGAAACTTAAGAATTAGCAAAACTTAACAAATAATGGATTAAAACAAAACCAAATATGAAAGAAACTGAACAAGATCGCTTTTTATTTATTTAATTACAACATGTTAAATTTGAGGATTATTTTGAGTATATTTTTTAACCCCCGACGTAAAAAGAGGTGTGCTATAACTTTGAAGTCTTTCATCACAACTCCCAAATTGAAGATCATCAATTCATAAGTTCATAACATCATAACTCATAATATAGTTGGTGTAGGAGTCAGCGATTGTGGGGTTACCGCGTCGACCGTCGCAGCGAATCTTAACCAGTTTAATACGACTTTTTAAGGATTCATTATTTTTGTGTCGCGGGTTTTTAACATGGAAAGTTGTTCCAACAATATCTTTTAGTATTTTAGTTGTTATGTCGTCATTGGTGTGTGTGTGTATGGTATTTATGGACATGATTGGAACATTTATCAATTGAAGGAATTCATAAATATGGAGTTGTTTTTACTCTTGCAATAGGATCATAAATAATTAATTTTCTATTGTAAAAATGGACACCCTAAGAACACGGAATAATTAACGAACTATTTCCTGGTGTTTCATCTAATGTTTTTCGATATATTTAAAAATGGCATATTGTACTTTTTTTTAATAAATAGCACCTATAAAAATAAAAACAATTTCAAAAATTTTATTTCCCTCAAAAAATATAGGTATAGATATAATAGTATTCCCTAATTACATTTGCTATGAACCAGATTTATCTGAATTGTTTTTTTTTTCAGTATACCAATAGTTTCAGGTGGTACTATTTTTAAATTCTCTAAAGGTAATTCGTACATATCCCACATGAAACGCAGGAGCTGAAATTCAATCGTCGTGAACATTCCATATGGAATTTCTACAACTTTACGTCTAATAAAGAGTGGATGAGCAGACTTATTAAGATCATTATATAGATTCCAAAAGTAAAGCATGAAACATTTTCTTCCTGTAAAATTTCGTTCAACCAAAAGTTGGATCTGAGATTTTACAAAGTTTTACCACATCTGGTTCCTCGTACCTGACATTTTGTTTTTTTTTTCGATCTGCTGAATCAATTCTCTGATATAAATTTTCATAAAACTTTGGAAATACTCCCAGTTGGCCTTTCTCTAAAAGATAATAACGGAAATTTTCATTAAATAATCAATAATGTTAATCATATTAATTTACTAACTTATCTTGCAGATGCTCATTTTCATGTTGTAGTTTCAATAATTGAATTTCTTTATTCAATAACTCATTATTACTAGAACTAGTTGCAAATTGTGATCATCTGAAGTCTTTTTCAGTTCCGTTCTTCCCTGAATCGAATTACATTTTTTATTTTTACTTACACTTACTTATGTTAAAATAAGACACCTTCAGCATATTGTTACGAACTAAACTCATACGCCGCCACTCATACGGGGCTATTGGGTTCTAGTTATGCACATCGCCGATGATTCATTGTCGATGACGGCGGCCGAAAGAGAGCCTGGAAGCGGAAATCGCGAATGGGTGCTTCAGAGAAGTCTAGAAGCGGTGGTTTCGTAGGGTTTCGAGAAGGACCGCGTGCTGTTTAAATAGGAACCATCGTCGGGAGCAGTTAGTGTAGTCCAGACGACGAGAATTGAATTCAGTTAACAAGTCGAGTCCAACGAATTTCGAGAAAACCCAGTGAATGTCGCGCCGGAATTATTTTGTACATAATCGCTCTGTAATTAGTCGTGTAAATCCGAGTTACTAAGAAATAAATTGTTACGTTTACCCACACCGATTACGTAACACTGGTGTCAGAAGTGAGATTTAAGATTAATAACTGATTTTACGACGACTTCCGGGCAGGTTTGAAAAGAATTCTGAAGAATTTATGCCTGTCGAGAAGGGAGCTCAAGCTGGGAAAATGGAAGAACAAGTAAATCATACGATGGCTATGCTTGCAGCAATGCAAAAAAAAAATGGGCGTAAGCAATAAAGAAATGGACGAAAAAGTGGGCGCAAGAATGGAAAAAATGGATGCAAGAGGCGAACAAATGAACGCGAAAATGGAAAAAATGGACGAAAAATGGACGCAAGAATGGAGAAAATGAACGAAAAGATGGACGCTAGGGATGAGAAACTGAATGCAACAATAGAAGAGATGAAAAAAAAATGGATGTAAAAATGGGAAAGATGGACGAAAAAATAGATTAGCCTGACTGAAAAATTCCAAAATGAAGTGGAAGCAAACAAGAATGAAATAGAAGAAATCAGAGAAGAAATTGAGGACATAAAAACATATCTGGAAAATATGGAAAATACTGTCGGACGAAATATGATGGCAATGGAAAACAACATGGAAAATCGAATGAAAACTATAGAAGATCGAATGAAGACATTTGAAAAGACAATAAAAAATGGAGCAACATCTGGTTCACATAATGTGGTGTCGACCCCCAGAATAATTCAAACCTTATCTAACAAAGATATAAACAAATATAGGGCGTTAACTACTGCTCTAGAACTACGATTTGGGGATGAACATCTAAAACAAGAAATCTTAAAAAAGGGTAGTTTTCCTTATTTTTGGCATAAAAATCTCACATTTTTAAAAAGGCCATAAAAAATAGGATAGTTTCTATAAAAATCGATGTTTCAATAAATAAAATGGGCTTAAAAACAGATCATTTTCACAATTTTTTGTGTTTTTGAACAGACTTCAATAGGCTGTTTTTGAAACTCTACAAACTTCAACGACTAAAACTTGAAAATCGACTAATTTTTCTAAAAAGTTGCTGTTTTTAGGAAAATCTGAGTTAGAAAAAAAGGGTTAAAAATGAGGGTAAAAAGTTTTTTGATGTTTTATTTGAAATACGGGTTTTTGTTAAAAAATAATGGATAGAAAATAGGAAAATGACTCAGGAAAATAGGCATAATAATCTGACTTAAAAAGTTACACATATTAGACTACTATTATTAAATTTACTGCTGCGAGTAATTACTCATGTACTCAATCGTTGTGACCTATCATAAACTAGCGGTTGCGACGTCACAAATATATTAATACGTTGAATTCCCGTATTAATACAAACGATTACAAACGATTGTTCATCAACACGATGAG